TGGCCGCGAAAGCTGGCCTGCGGGACCCACGCCGGGCCTCAAAAGGACTTTTTCGGGAAATAAAACTCGAAATAAACTCCAACAAACACAAAAAACTTGGAATTATCTGCTTTTGTTGCGAAATTCCACGCGCGGAGGCTGGGGTGGTGATCTGGGTGGGTGTGCAGAAGGTGTCTGTACACCCCACCACCACCGCCACCGCCACCCAGTGTGTTGCATTTTTTGTCTTCATTTCTTCGAAACAAAAGTTAATTTCAAAATATAAGTCTTTAAACTTCAATATTTTCACTTTTAGTTCTTTTTTTGCTGTCTTTTGATGGCGGAAACCCCCCCAAAGTGACGAATTCTTCCTCCAGTGCCGCCGCAGCCGACCCTGCTTTCTCACGGAATCGGCGGCAGTTCTTTGCAATAAACCCGTTTAAACTTCCCTCCCCAAATCTTAAATTGCATTTTAATTAAAATGTTTCAAAAATGAAAAAAAAAATATCCGAAAATGGTCGATTAAACAGCAGCTCGCGGGCAGCTGAGCACAACAGCACTCACTGAGTGACTTCTTGACAACATTTTACGAAACTGCTGAAGAATAAATAAAACTGTGAAATATAATAAGAAATGAAATTGTCTTTTAATTATTTTTATTTATTCTGTGTCTATTTTGCAAGTCGGGATACTTGTTGCATTTTTTTTTCTTTCATAAGTTCTTCAACAGAATTTCCGATCTCAAATTGGGCATTTCAAATATCATTTAAAAGCATGTCTTCACAAGGAAAAGAATGCCTCTTTGTATTCTTTACAACACAAATGCAACTTTTCAAATCTTTAAATTCAAACCACTTTATATATTTTCGAAGAATGATTCGAAAGGAAATCTTTTAAATGCAACTTTGCGTCAAACAGATTCGGGTGAACATCCATGTTTGAGACAAAACGGAATCCAAAAAACGCCGTGTTGTCTCAAACAGAGTTTTCAAAACTCAAATTTTTCTCAAATTTGAATTTTGAAAACTCCTCTCAAAAATCAACTGAGACAAAACGGAATCTCAAAACTCGACTGAGACAAAACGGAATCTCAAAACTCAATTGAGACAAAACGGAATCTCAAAAGTCTAATTTGAGACAAAACAGAATCTCAAAAGTTCCAGACAAAACGGAATTCTCAAAAGTCACTTTTGAGACAAAACGGAATCTCAAAAGTCACATTTGAGACAAAATGGAATTCTCAAAATTCACATTTGAGACAAAACGGAAATCTCAAAAGTCAAAGTTCAAGTTCGAGACAAAACCGAATCCCCCAAACCCACAGTCGAGACAAAAGAAAATGGAATTTGCAATTTACAGAACTCCATTTGAGACAAAACGAACTCGACAAAAACGAAATCCGAAACCAAACAAAAAGTTCGACAAATTACCACAGAGGACAAGTCCTGTCAGATCACGAGAATTTAACGAGAATATAACCCTCCCTCTTCGTCTCAGATATTGAGAACAAATACATCCCACAAAAACTGCAAAAACCAAAACATCTCTAAATAGGTAAACAAAAATCATAGACACAATTCGCTCGATATCAAAACACAAAACATAACAAAGCTTCATAAGCCATCTTCATGGAAGACTGCAATTCTAAAACACCACAATAATGACAAAATAATTCTTAAAACACCACAAAAGATGTAAATAACAAAACCAAATCATATTCAAATCCATTCATGAAAATAAGTCATATAATAAATATATGAAGTTTGCAATTCGTTAGCAGCCGCGCGAACACGAACTGCTGACCAGAAATTCTGCTGTGGAGCCACCCTCTAGGGGCGGGCCTAGCCAATCACAGGCCGCTGAGTGCAATGCGCTGCTCATAGCTACGACAGGGTGATGCCGGAGCCACCCCGAGCGCCAGCCAAGTAAGTTTAAATAGCGTGGCAGTGGAGGCCCCCACCCTCCGCGGCCGCGAACGGCGCATAAGGCGCTGGATCTCGCGGCACCGTTTTTTTTTCGGGCGCAGAATTGTGCCTTAAAATCCTTTTTTTCGGAACTCGTGGGCTTTTTTAGGCCGTTTTAAATCCCAAAAAAATTTTTATTTATTTTTTATGGGCTTTCTTTCCCCGCGAAAAGACCCCCGCCACGCAGCACGGTGCTCCGGTGACGCCGGCTGCTCTCGCCCGCGATCCGCAGCTATTTGACCGCGTTTTTCCGCGTTTTTTGTTCTGTTTATCTTCGTTTCCTCTTTTCTAGCCATTTTGATCCATTTTAACCCTTCGGGAGGCAGTTTTCCTCCAGTTTCGCGGAGGCGCCGCGGCCGGACTCGGCCCGCCACGCAACCGCGGTGTCCATCGGTGTCCATACACCCGAATTCACGAGGCAACCAGACTTCTTCTCGACTTGACTCCGCCACTTATGCTTTTTTTTGTTGTTTTAGCTTTGCTTACGCGTAGATGAAGCTGCTGTCGCAGGCTTCCCACCCCTGGAGCCTGGAGCCCTGGTCCTCTGCCTGCCGCAGCAGCGCCGAGCCACCGCCTCCAGTTTCCCAACTTTCTCTCCAAGACAGTGCAGGATTCACATTTTCAATCAAATTTTTAACTTTCTTTTAAGCTCGGGGGGAGCTGCTGGCCAATTGGCTCTGCTTCCTGCGCAAGCCCAAGATCCCCGTCGCCTGACCACCCTGCAGCACCAGCAGCAGCAGCAGCAGCAGCAGCAGCAGCTTGACCAGCAGCAGCACTTAGCGCGCCTGGGCTCGCTGCGCTGCAGCCACCGGGCTTTGCCCAGAGCCGCCTCCAGCAGCAGATGAGGGCCCCCTCAGGGGGCCCCCCAGTAGGTTCTTGTCTGGGGCGGCGGCTCCCGCTGAGAGAACAAGAGGCCCCTAAGTCTTCCCGGAGTCTTCTGGGGCCCCCCGGGGCCCCCCTGGGGGGCCCTTGGGCCCCAGGGGGGCCCCCCCTGAGGCTACGGGGCAGCTGGGGGGCCAACAGCTTTGCTTGCATTGCTGCGGGGCCCTCCCGCAGCAGCAGCAGCAGCAGCAGCAGGTGTATGTACACACCAATCCGAGAGGCTGCTGCTGGGAATTGCTGGGCTCCTGCCTCGCTGCCGAAGCCGAGAAGCAGCAGCAGCAGGAGCAGCCGGAGCAGCAGCAGCAGCAGCAGCAGCAGGAGACTTCGGAAGCGATTTGCTGCGGTGTACAGACACCTCAGGGGCCCCTGGAGGCCCCATTTGATAAGTCTGCTGCTGCTGGTTTTGCTGCTTGTGGGGTTGTCTTTGGCAGCAGCTTTGTGGGGTTTTGGGGGAGTGTTGTTGCGTTTGCTGCCCCTGCAGCAGCAGCAGCAGCAGCCTCTGCAGCAGCAGCAGCAGCAGCCCATGCAGCAGCAGCAGCAGCTTGGGGCCCCCCTCATGCTCAGTGGGCTCGAGAGGGGCCCCCTCCCTGCCTGGGGTGTATGGACAGGTCAGCCGCGGTTCGCAGCAGAAGTGCTTCTAAAGGACTCCTACGAAAGTGCAGCAGCAGCAGCAGCAGCAGCAGCAGCAGCAGCAGCCCCTGCAGCAGCAGCAGCAGCAGCAGCAGGGGTGGGGGCCCCCCCCCGGCGACTGCAGAACGTGGTGAACATAGGGCCCCCCGATGGGTACTCTGGGTTTGACCCGCAGAACATGTGGGAGGCCTTCAAGGGGGCCCCCCAGGACTATTTGCTGCTGCTGTGGTTCATTTTGAATTTGTTTCTTGTTTGCTGCTTCTGCAGCTGGATGTGCACGCAACGCAGCTACCAGAAGGCAGTTGTTGTTTCCCCCTGACGCTGCTGCTGCTGCTGCTGCTGCGCTGCTGCTGCTGCAGCTGCTGCTGCTGCAGCTGCTGCTGCTGCTGCTGCTTCTGCTGCTGCTGCTTCTGCAGCTGGATGAGCACGCAACGCAGTTACCAAAAGGCAGTTGTTGTCTTCCCCTGACCGTGCTGCTGCTGCTACTGCTGCTGCAGCCGCTGCTGCAGCTGCAGCTGCATGTGCACTGAGCGCAGCTGCCAAGTGGAAGTTGTCATTTCCCCCAGACTTTCCGTCTATTTCTGTACTCCTGCTGCTGCGCTGCTGCTGCTGCGCTGCTGCTGCTGCGCTGCTGCTGCTGCTCTGCTGCTGCTGCTGCTGCGCTGTCGCTACTTCTGCTGCGCTGCTGCTGCTGTCAAATAAACGGGTATTTAAAGAAAATAAATGTATATATATAAATGCTTTTGGAAGGGGTTTAGAGACATCTTTATAAATATTTATGCTATTTTCCATTAAATGGAATTTAAAAATGGATTTATTTGTTCATTTGCATCTTGAAGACCTGTGTAGTTGAGCTGTACGTACACCCGAAGTATGGAATTTCGCTGTTTTGCATCAAAGGCGAAATTGGGACTTTTCATGTATTTGTCTTTTCGTGTTTTGCATCTTTAAATTGGATTTTAATTTGCATTTTTGTTTTTTGAAATATACTCTAGATTGAATTTAAATTTGCATTTCTGGTTTTTGAAATATGCTTTAAATGAAGTTTAAATCTGCATTTTTGTTCTTTGAAATATACTTTAAACGGAGTTTAAATCTGCATTTTTGTTCTTTGAAATATACTTTAGTGGAGTTTAAATTTGCATTTTTGTTTTTTGAAATATGCTTTAAATGTCTGGAGATGTAATAAGAGTTCCAGCAAATCATTATGCACTGGTGAATGTCTTTAAATATAAATGTAAAAGTAAATGTAAATGTAATATAAATAAAGTAGATTTGAATATTAATGTAAATGTGAATATAAGTGTAATATAAATAAAATAGATTTGAATTTAAATGTAGATGTGAATATTAGTGTAACATAAATGTAATGGACATGAATATGAGTGCAAGTATAAATACAATATAAATGCAATGCAAATATAATGCAAATATAATAGACATGAATATACATGTAAATAGTAGATATAAATATAAATAATAAATATAAATATAAATATAAATATAAATGCAAATATAAATATAAATATAAATATAAATATAAATATAAATATAAATATAAATATAAATATAAATATAAATGTAATTATAAATATAAAGCCGTTTTTGTCGATTCAAATCGACAAATTTGCATGCAAAGTGGCAAAAGTTGATTCTTAAAACACACAAGAGGAGCAATAAGGCTAAGGGCAGGCAAATGCATGTTTATGTTTTGTTTGCAGATGTTTGTCTTCGGCATTTATTTGTTTATTATTATTATTATTTATTATTACTACTATTATTAGTATTATTATTATTATTGTTTTATACTTATTATTGTTATTTGTTTTCAGCACTTCATTTATTGCTATTTATTTATTTCTGGATCTGAGAGGCCAAGTGGCTCTTTTTGCTGCTGCAGTCAATAAGCCTTTTGGCCCCAGGGGTAAAACTGAAGAAAGAAAGCCTTTGGGTGAAAAATAATTTTTTTAAAATTAAAAATTAAATTGTCCATGTAAGGCCATTTATGTGTACGTACACCGCAAGCCTTGAGGCAAGGCCTTAGCAGCAAACTGGAAAAAAGCAGCAGCTTCAAAAAGTGCAAAATTATTTTTTTTGGATTTTTTTGCACTCAAAGTTTTCCATTTAAACTTCTTCTTTTGCTGCAGTTTCTCCCCCCTTGAAGGCCTTCTTGTAAACAGCTGATTTCGAAAAGAAGAATAATTAAAAGTGAATTAAAATTATAGAAGTGTTTGAAAGTAAATGGAGTTCTGCATGCATGCTTGTTGTATCATATGAGCCTATGCCCGTTTTGTCTTTCTTACGCTGCTCCAAATAAAATGACAAATATAAATTTAAAAATAAATAAAAATATCTATTTATTTAAAACAAATCCGAAATTTGCCTCATTTTGCATCATTATGGCCTCTCCCATTCACGAAACCAAAAGCCTGAGTTTTTTGTCTTTTCACACAATATATGAATATATATACATCTTTTAATAATTTGAATAATATTTAATTAATTATTTATTTAATTAAGCACAATAAAGTGCCAAAATCTGCAGAAATGCGGGTTTTGAATTTGCAAAAGGTTTTGGGTGAAGCGCCTTGTTTTGAGGTGTATGTACACCTGGGCGCCGGAGGAACGCTGGACTCCAAAGTTGAGTCCAATTCATCTTTATATATTTATTTACACAATTTAAACAATTAAAAGGAAAATATAAATATATTTTCTTTTATTTTTGGACTATTTTTGCAGAGTTGCACGGCTTTGCCGCACTGAGATCAACTCCAGGCCATTTGCCACTAATAAGAATGTAAATATAATTGTTGAATGTTTTCATTTATTTTTGCTCCTTTTATGTTTAATTCCAATTTAATTATATCTATTTATGGTGGCTGCACACAAAAAAGAATATATATCCATGCACATGTTTTATTCTTTTCATAAAGTCCACAAAGCATATATATATATATCTGTAGTATATAATATATAATAAAGCATATATATATATACAATATACATATAGAGTATATAGTATAGAATATATAATATATGATATATAATATATATATAATATGTAATATATAATGTATAATATATATTATATATCATATACAATATATATATGATATATAATGTATAATATATATAATATATATTATTTATAACTTGCAGTGCATATATGCAATGCATGCACATATATATAATATTCACATATAGTTCACAACAATTAAAAACAAAAAATGGCGAAGACCGGCGAACTGTGGGGCCGTGAAGACCAATTAATTGTTTTTTCTTTTTTATATTTCCTCTTTTTTCCATTAAGTCTTTTTTCCTTTCAAATTCAAATGAACGCGTTTGAGACACGTGCATGTGTACTTTGCTGCTGCTGCTGTTGCTGCTGCTGCTGCTGTTGCTGCTGCTGCTGCTGCAGTTGCAGTCGCTGCGGCCAACAGGCTGGCTCAGCTCAGGCGGTTGCTGCAGCAGCAGCAGCTGCAGCAGCAGCAGCAGCAGCAGCAGGAAAGAGTGCATTTGGTTTAGTTGTAAACAAAGAAGCAGAGGAAGTTGAGCTGGAAGCTGCTGCTGCAGTGTCGGCAGACGCAGCAGCAGACGCAGAGACACGAAGCTAAGCGGGAATGAAAGCTAGCTAGCTGTGGCTAGCCAAGCTGGCTAGCTGTTCCTAGCTTGGCTAGCTGGTTGAAACTTGGCTAGCTGGGGCTAGCTAGCTAGGGCCAACTGGGTAGCTAGGGCTAGCTAGCTGGGGGTGCAGCAGCAGCAGCAGCAGCCGCCGCGGGAGGCAGCAGCTAGCTGCTGCAGCTAGCTGCTGCACGCAGCAGCTAGCTGCTGCAGCTAGCTGCTGCCCCGAGTTTTGAAGAAAAGGTAAAAGTGAAGAAAAGGACTTCAGTTGGTCGGAGAGGGAGTGAGCTGGAGTTGGGGTGTACGGACAGCTCGGGGAGCGAGTGGCGAGGCGGCAAGTCGGCAGTTTTGGCGTTGAAATAAAAAATTAAAAGAGTTTTTGTTTCAAAAAGAATAAATATTGTTTTTAAAAGAATTAAAAAAAAGTTTTAAGTGCATTTCAGCCCCCAGAGGAGCCTCATGTCCTGCTGTCGATGGCCCCGCGGCGCTCCGGGGGCTGCCGGGAATGGAGTCTTTTAGTTTGCAATTTCGTTGAATTAAATAAAATAAAATGAAATTAAATATATTTTTGAGAGGAGAAGGCGGGAGGGGGGGTCGGTGGACATACAGGTGGCGGGTTTCAGTCTCTGCTGCTCCCGCTGCAGCAGCAGCAGCAGCAGCAGCAGCAGCAGGTTTGTCGCAGCGTCTGTTGCGGCGCGTCTCTTACAGCCTTGGGTTAAATACTCGAAATGAAGTTTAATTGCATTTAATTCAAGTTTGGGAAATGTGTAAATGAGAAAAAGGCGGAAGCTGGGAGCGGCAGGCGTCGCGCTGCACGCAGGGTTGGGGTGTACATACACCTCGGGGCGTAGGCGCTCTGCTGCAGCAGCAGCAGCTGGGGCCCGTTCGTCACAATTTATAATTAATTGCTGCTCAAAAGCAAGCAGTTTGGGAATAAAAGGAGTTTCGTAGTTTGTTGCTGCTGCTGGAGCGGCGTTTCTGCGTCTCTGGGGCGCATTTTTGCTGCCGCGCTCGCTGCTGCTGCTGCTGCACAGCAGCAGCAGCAGCAGCAGCAGCTCTCTCTTCCTCTCGCCGTCTCCTTCGCGCCCTTCCCCCTGCTGCTCCCTCGCAGACAAGCTGTTTTATTTCTGGCTTCTATAAATGTTTTTTGTTTTCTGTTTTAATTCCTGCAATCTAACCCCTCCCACAGCAGCAGACCGGCTCCAGCAGCAGCTCTGCTGCTGCTGCTCCTGCTGCTCGCCGCTTCGGGGCGCTGCTGCTGCTGCTGCTGCTGCTGCCGAGGCTCCCTCCCCCAATCCTCTCCGCGTTTTTAATTCTTTGCTTTTTCTTTTCTGCATTTTCAGCTGTCTGTACACCTGAACACCCCACAGGTGGGGCCCGCGGCCCCGTGTGCGCCCAGGCGGACTTGACCACTGGTCACTTTGGTTTGAGGTGTCTCTACACCTCCTGGCCTGTCTCCAGCTGTCTCCTTTTTATTCATTTCCATTTCTTTCATTCTTCCGAGACAGGGGGGCCGGGCAACTGGCCGTCCGAGCCCGCAGCAGCAGCAGCAGCAGCAGCAGCAGCAACGCCGGTCTCGAGCTGCTGCTGCTGCAGCAACTGCTGCTGCAGCAACTGCTGCTGCCGGCTCTCCAGCAACGCACCTGCGGCCTCTGCACCCAAAACTGCTGGTGTCGTTTCAACAGCCGCAGCAGCGGCAGCAGCAGCAGCAGCAGCAGCTGCTGCAGCAGCAGCAGCAGCAACATGCAGCAGCTGCTGCTGCAGCATCCTCTATGTCCATTTTAACTCCCCTCATATCTTCTTCGGCTGCCGCCCATTTGCTGCTGCTTCGGGTGTATGCTCACCTGACGCAGACACGCCACAGCTGTTCGTCACAGTGTGAGAAACCCTAAACCCTAAACCCTAAACCCTAAACCCTAAACCCTAAACCCTAAACCCTGAGTCAAGTTGGAGCCTGTCAATCTTGAGCGGAGGCCCTGAGACATTGCATGCCTTTCTGGTCTTGTGATTTTTTTAAAGCTGGACTAATTGGGTAATGCTATTTTGCTGCAGTTTATGTTGAATGGTTTGTTGCTGCTGCTGCTGCTGCTGCTGCTGCTGCAGGGGAGGGCCCGCAGGGCCTGGGAATCCTTTCTACCTTCCCGTGAGTCGCAGCAGCAGCTGCTGCAGCACCTGCCGCTGCAGCACCGGCTGCAGCAGCAGCAGCAGCTGCTGCTGCTGCACTTAGCAATGGCTACTGGGTTCCCTGCGGGGCCTGCTGCTGGGGGCCTCCTCGTGCTGCAGCAGCAACTCGACAGCAGCGGGGGGCCCCCCGGGATTCGGAAGAAGCGGAAGCACCCGTCCTCTCCAGCAGCAGCAGCAGCTGCTGCTGCAGCTGCTGCAGCAGCAGCAGCAGCTGCTGCTGCTGCAGACTGCCGCCGCTGGCAAGCGGAGACTGTCAAGGGTTTGGGGTCTGCCAGCAGCAACAGGCAATTCACAAAAACAGTGGGGCTGCCTGCTGCTGCTGTTGCAGCAGCAAGAGCTGCAGCAGCAGCAGCAACGGGACGGGGCGAGAGGCTTCCGTTGCTGCCCCCAGCAGCAGCAGCAGCAGCAGCAGCGCCGGAGGCCCAGAGCGAGAATGTGCTGCTGCTTCCTGCAGCCGCAGCAGCAGGAGCAGCAGCTGGGGAGACGCAGCAGGCAGCTCCGGGGAGACTGCGCACTGCAGCAGCAGCAGCAGCAGGAGCAGCAGCAGCGCCCCCAGCAGCAGCAGCGGCACCGCCGGCAGCAGTAGCTGCAGCAAGGACTACGCACACTGAAGAAGGCGCAGCAGCAGCAGCAGCTGCTGCTGCTGCAGCATACAGTGAAGGCAGTATTACAGCCGCAGCTGCTGCAGCCGCCGCAGCAGCGGCGGCCGCAGGAGCAGCGGCAGCAGAAGCAGCAGCAGCAGGAACGGTAGCAGCAAAAGCAGCCGCAGCGGAGGCAGCAGCAGCAGACGGATCCGGCGGAGCAGCAGGATCAGCGCCTGCCACAGCGCGGCTGGCCGTGACTGCAGCAGCAGCAGCAGCAGCAGCAGAAGCAGCAGCAGCAACAGCAAAGACAGGGGCCACAGCAGCGCCCCCCAGCGACAACTTGGGGCCTTTGTGCGCTCTGGAGCAGGCGCCGGCGCAGCAGCCGCAGCAGCAGCAGCAGCAGCGGCAGCAGCAGCAGAAGCAGCAGCAGCAGCAGCACTGGCTGCTGCTGTCGCTGCGGTCCGCCCTCAGCTGTGCTGCAGCAGAAGAGGGAACAGCACAAGCTGTGGGGCGGCGGCCAGAAGCAGCAGGAAGGGGCTGGGCTTGGGGCTGGCGAGGTCCTGCTGCTGCTGGTTGCTGCTGCGGTGCTGCTGCTCCTTGCTGCTACCCGCGGGTCCCTGCGCTGTCTTGCGGCCACTGCTTGCGCAGCAGCAGCAGAGCCGCCAGCAGCAGCAGCAGCAGCAGCAGCAGCAGCAGCAGCAGCAGGCCGGTCCAGCCTGCTGCGGAGGAGACGCTGCGAGCAGCAGCCTCCTCGTTTTGCTGCTGCCGGAGCGGCGATGCAGCAGCAGCAGCAGCAGCAGCAGCAGCGGCAGCGGCGGCCGGGCGGGCCACAGCTACAGCAGCAGCAACTGCGGCCTCTGCTGCAGCAGCAGCAGCAGCTGCTGCTGCTGCTGACGTCGATGAGGGGGCCCCGCCCTTCTTCCTGCAGGGGCCTCTTGAGAGAGAGAAGACCCCCAGGGCAGAAGAGGCTGTGTTGCCTCTCAGCCAGCAGCAGCAGCAGCAGCAACAGCAACAGCAACAGCAGCAGCAGCAACAGCAGCAGCAGCAACAGCAGCAGCAGCAGCAGCAGAAGCAGCCGCCGTCTGCGCTGCTTGCGTCGCCCGCGCCGCAGCCGCAGCAGCAGCTGCCGCCACAGCAGCAGCAGCAGCAGCAGCAACTGCTGCTTCCCTACTGTGGGTCCAGTGACCCACAGAAGCAGCAGCAAGCAGCAGCAAGCAGCAGCTACACTTTTTTGGGGCCCCTTCCCCCCCCTCTTTGCGGGGCCCCCTGGGTCCCGTTTGAACTGGACGCTGTGCAGCAGCAGCAGCAGCAGCAGCAGCAGCAGCGTTTGCAGCAGCAGCAGCAGCAGCAGCGGCAGCTGCCGGTTTTGCCCAAGTGGGAGGAGGAGCATCCTCTGCAGCGGCAGCAGAATGTGTGGGGTAGGAATATGGGGAGCCCAGTAGCAGCCGCAGCAGCCGCGGCAGCAGCAGCAGCGACAGCAGCAGCGGCGACGGCAGCAGCAGCGGCAGCAGCAGCAGGAAGTGAGTGCGCGGCGCCGCTAGCGCTGCAGCAGCAGCCGTCGCCTTGGCAGCTGGGTCGTGCTGTGCTGCACTGCAGCAGCAACAGCAGCAGCAGCAGCAGCAGCAGCAGCACGGGGGAAGCAGCAGACATCTCGGAAGGATTTGAGGTACAGCAGGTGCAGCCGCAGGAGCACCAGCACCAGCCGCAGCAGCAGCAGCAGCAGCAGCAGCAGCCGCAGCCGCAGCCGCAGCAGCAGGCGCAGCTGCGGCTGGAGCGGCGTCTTGGACATCAGCTGGAGCAGCAGCAGCAGCAGCTACATCAGCAGCAGTTGCATCAGCAGCTGCAGCAGCAGCAGCTGCAGCAGCTGCAGCAGCAGCTGCAGCAGACGAAGATGGACGGGCATCCCTGGGCGTTTATGCCGGGTGCGGAGTCTTCGCCTTGTGCTGCTGAGGGCGCCTCAATGGTCCCCAACGGGGCAGCAGCAGCAGCAGCAGCAGCAGCAGCAGCAGCAGCAGCAGGGGCAGCAGGAGCAGCAGGAGTTCCAGCTGCTGTTGCGGGGAGCCGCGCGCCTGCTGCTCGACGCAGGCCGTGCGTGCGAGCGTACAGGAGCAGCAGCAGCAGGGACAGCAGCAGCGGGAGCAGCAGCAGCCGGAGCAGCAGCAGCAGCAGCAGCGGCGGCGGCCGAGTTCCTGCTTCAAAGCAGCAGCAGCAGCAGCAGCAGCATCCCTCCCACCTCGGGCGTCTCGTATTCCCGCAGCGTGGGCTGCATCAGCAGCAGCAGCAGCAGCAGCAGCAGCAGCAGCAGCAGCAGCAGCAGGGGGTGTTGGAGGATATGCGCGGTTCTCCGCGCAGCAGCAAGCGGAACAGAGGCGGCGGCGGCGAGTTGCTGCTTCCCGCGTCTTGGGCGAACCACCAGCGCAAAACAAAAGCAGCAGCAGCAGCAGGAGATGGCAGCGACCCTGCTGCTGCTGCTGCTTGTGGCGGCGAGCCAGCAGCAGCAGCAGCAGCAGCAGCAGCAGGAGTTGAAGCTGCTGCTGCTTCGTCAGCAGCAGCGTCGACCGCCTCCTCCGCCTGCTCGCTGGCCACAACCGCCGCCACCGCAGCACCCGGCGCTTCCTCCTCTCCCCCCCCCACCCCCCACTTAACACCCTCCACC